TGATATGTGCGCGAAATGCATTGATAAAGGAGAACAATGTATCGAAAGAATGAAATATGTGGGTACAAACAGGACTCTCTTGTCGTTTATAGAATTTTATCAAGTTTTATAATTGTATGTTTTCGAATATTTTACAATAATTCAAACTGTAATATCGCTTGCTATTCCTTTGTGTGGCTTTCGCCTGAGTGCATTTCCATTTTAGAGATTGCCACTGTTTTCTGTGTGTGTGTGTGTGTGTGTGTGTGTGTGTGTGTGTGCGTCACATTTAAAGTGCCTTGCCCTTTGGCATGCCACACACAAGCAAGCACACACTCTATTCTCCATCATAACTGTCAAAAACCGACAGAAACTCATTCCCACAATATATGTATAGTGCATATATGGAGCGACACAATTGCAAAACATAAACAGAAAACAGAAAAGTTGTAATCACAGCTGTCCGAACCGAGTGAAAACCATGCCCAGATATATGATGATGGACCATGAGGGATCTATGACTCTTAATGGGGATACAGAAACCAAAGGCGGCACACACAGAGGGATATGGGGAGTGATATGGTGGTTCGTTCTCTCTGCGTACGATAATCATAATCAGCAAACTGTTGTTGCAACTGTCACTGCATCGCACACACACACACTCACACTGTGTGCACATTTTATTTATATTTTTCCGGCCAAGCAGACGCTTCCAGCATCATCGTCCTCGTCATCACAGACATAATAGTCATCTGGTGCCACCACTGCTGCAGTTCTCCATCTGTTTTGAGGTTCCTGCTGATGAAACCACAGCGGCGGCACTCATTCGTTTTAATTGTTATCATCAAAAATGTCACTTTAATGTTTACTCGAAATAGGGCAGATCTAACTAGACAAACTCAACTTATGGCACAGATTATATTTATTTGGAAAAAGGGAAGCGTGAAAAACAGATGCTGATTTAATTAAGGCACTCTTAGTTTGTAAAATTATTTTTATAATTACAAATTTCGCCACTTAAAATACAGTATAAGTATTTTTTAAAAGAACAAATCATAAATAAAAATAAATAATCTTAAAAATGTTATCTTAAAATCTTGTATAAATATTTAATAACGTTCTAAAAGAAGAAAAACATTAGAAATACTTTCTATAGTATTCGATTCTTCCAAAAAACTATTATTTTGTTGACCAATGTTCAACTGCCAGTCTAATTGAGTGGTTGTGTGCCTGAGCTTACAAGTGTGACACAGAATGTGTAATTTGCACTTAATTGTCACAAATAAGCGAAAGGAATTTTGTAATTTTTATTTTTACAATGCGCAATCCTCAATGGAATTACAACCCCCATCCCTTTGCCCGCACTACGCTCTCCTCCTTGGGGTGCGATTAGCTTAGTTTCCATTACGGAGGAGAGGCTTGGCCCAATTTTCCTGGCATTTAATTAGCATTTTGTAATACATTTGTCGTAATGCCCTCGAGTATTTCATTTGCTTTCGCCTCTCCTCTAGCCTCCTTCCTCTTCATGTTATCGTTCTCGTTTTTGTTGTTGTTGGTGTGTGCCCCCTACTTTTCATTTTAATTAAATTGCTTGATTGTCCAGCGGTCGGTCGGATGATTATATACGATTGCATCTGCTGGTGGAAAAGTCGGGGGCGATGGGTTCGACTTTAATGCAAATGAAGCGGATATATATCCCCCAGCACGCACACAGCCCAGAAGAGTCAGCAGATGATGTCACTCGAGTGCAGTTAAGGGAGAAATTAAAAGTAATTTCTATAAAATTAAATCGCAGTACTATAAGGAATTGAATTTTTTCATTAATACTTTATACTTCTTAGAATAATACTTGATTCAAGTTCATCGTTAGCCAATTTATATCCCTAAATATATATTATATTCCTTCCATTTCATCCATCCATCCCCTTAATATTGGGGCAGCAAAGTGTTGAGAGCTTGAGGCGTGGCATGACAGTACACTTTTTTTTTTCTTGGTTTACTTTAGTGGGTGTTGACTGCCCTCAACGCCACCTTTTTCCTGGCAAATGCGAATGTGTTTATCGCCAGCACTTAACCCATTTAAGCCCGGGTCCTTTGGGTTTCCTGGTCCCTGGACTTGGACCTGAAACCACACCCAGCAAATGGAGGAAAGTGCTAAAGCGCTCGCCCCATAGATTCTCCAGGGAATTGATGAACATGCGAGTGGAATATATGTATGTTTATACATACTATATATATACTTATGTGTTTGTGTTTGCTTATATCTAACAAATGACTGTGTCCCATTGAGTGGATGATGACTGGGCAGAAATTCGCCCTGCGGCTGTCGCCTGTGCAACCATATTTAATTGCCACAAATTAATTAAATTAATGAATTGTTTGCAGAGAAGATTTCCAGTCATTTATCTAAAAATTAGCCAAGCCAGAAGAGTTTTCTTTACTCATGTTGTTTAGTTTTCCCACACTCCTCCTGCCAATGACACATGATTTTCCTTTTGCAGTTTACTGCTAATGATTTGTATGAGAGTTTTCCCAGCTGAATTGGAAAATTAATTTTCGCTTCAATAAAATTATTTGCTGCTGCTGGCATATGCGAAACGCAATATAAAACTTTTATTAGGCTTATAAACTTGATGGCAATTTCAGTGTTAAATTGAGATGGACTGGACGACGGGAGACGAGAAGGAGGCAGGCCAGATATCAGCATTTTCCTCCACACTTTTCGTTGTGGTGCCATTTTTATGTCACTTTCATTAAACCAAAAGAGGAAATGGAACATTTTTACTCATTCTCTGTGTATGTGTGTGTGGTTGCGGGCAGATAAACTTGTCATTTCGAGCAGGCGGATTGGATATTGTAGGAATATTGGTCATTGTGATGCTGCGTCCATTATTTCGAGAAAATCAATTACGCCAATGGCGAATAAAAATGTATACATGTTTGCACAAAAAATCATTCAGATATAGCTTTTAGTGTCTGGGATTTAAGTGAAGGCAATTTGTAAAGGATATTTATGTTGCCAGAGCTGCCAGCTTGGTGGGATTTTACGGTTGAGCTGCCAACTTGTTTAAATATTTGTAAAAAGGTACAGTTGCGTTTGGAAAACATGAAAATATAGGTATATTAAAGAAAGAACATACTTTTTTAATTGAAAATAAATAATATAAATTGTTGAATAAAATATGGAGAAAATAGACAAAGATCTAAAAAGAGGATTGCTTATCCATCAATCAATGTAGTATCCTTTTAAGCCCTTTTCGTTATCCTTCTTCTCGCACAGCTCCGTCATGACCTTTGTCAACGATTTATTCATGACCATATAACAAAGCCATTGATCATTGCGCAGGCTCAACTCGAACGACTTTAATCGCAAATACATTTATATATTATGACATCAGACCCACCCAGAGCCCACGCCCCATAAATCTTCCGGCCAAGTCGGGGGAAATCCGCCCAGGCTCACTCTCTCATCTCACTTGTTGCCTTGACTCAAACCCATTCCCCTACTTATTTTCGATGCCATCTGTTGGGGGTAATAAACATGGCGCCTCCCATTCCAAGGATTCTATCCCCGAAAAACATTGGAAGACATTCGCTGTCGTCGGCTAAACAATAAATGTCATATGGTTGACACATCAACACTTTATGTGCTTCGCTTGGCCCTCCCAAAAATGTCCTGGCAAATAATATCCTTGCCTTACATTTTCTCTTCTACGCTCCCAACCCCAACGATTTTCTGGCTTTTGAGACAAGCAAATGAAAATCTTTACACGCTTTTAATTTCGCTATCCCCCCAAAGTATGCCGAGAATGTTTATCACACTTTCTCGGAATTTTATGGCCTCCGAAAATGAAATAAAATTATGACCAGCAGAAAATTAAGAATGTGAAATAGAATAGGAACCAGAGAGAGAGATATATAAACAAAGGCTTCTTCTTGGTCTTTTTGCACGCCCACACTTCATCCCTGGTTCTGTCACTCACTTGGATCTGTTCCATATAAAATGAATAATAAAACCAAGACAGACATCTATTATATATATTTTTATACCCATTATTATTGCAAAAATAGGGTATATACGTTAAATATTATTTAGATAATTAAACACAGCATTAGGATATTTAATAAAATTATAAAGATTTTATTAAATTTTTTCCCATTTTAATAATCTATAAATATATCCTGGGACTTTATTATATAATATGTTAAGATAACTAAAATGGAAACACCCAACTCTCTTTCCCTTTTTACTCGCTTTTGTAGTTTATGGCTTCAATTTGCCCAAATGAGTCGTTAATTTTGACTTTTCATGGGCGACAACGACTCCCCTTGACCCCTCGTCCGTCCTGTCCCACCCAGCAGCCGCCCTCTCCCCTTATTATTTGTAGGACTTGGCATAGACCTAAGTTAGTTTCCTTTTTGGGGCCACTTTTATTGTAATTTTGTGGCCTTTAATTGAATTTTATTAGCATTTGTACTTATTATTTGCTCAGCTCAAAGCCCCTTCCTCTTCCTCTGAACTGCCTGCCCATTTAATTGTACGCTTTATTTGCTGGCTGCGTGGGAGGATTTGGATCAGTTTCTGGTTTCTGTCTATATAGGGTAGTTTCTCCACCCGCCTAAGTTCGTTTCTATTATGGTTTGTTTGCGCATCTAATGAGTGTTTGCTTTGGCCAAGAAAAGTCACAGAAAGTGAATTTTCTGAATAGAAATAAATGTCTCCAAGATATTTATAACCTTCAGCTAGGTTGGAAAAGAATACTCTATTTAATATAAGATTTAATTAAGAAATATTTATGAATATTTTATTAAATTTCACTTTCTTTTTCTTTAATTTCAGGTAAGGACTTAAAAAATACTCAAAGTTTAATAATAATATTGATAACGGGGTAAGACTGCATTTGATTTATGTAATCTCTATAAAATTATTTAATTTCAATCAATTTTTTTTATAATTATAATTAGATAACATGTTTATTATCATAACCTAGAGATGGGTAACTCCAAAAACCTTTATCTTTCAAAGTTTACTTTAATTTAAATACGATATCTTTTGGTTCGAATATGATTTTTTCGCTTCTTTCTCGTGATTAATTTTACATATCGTATTTTCTTTCTACCTCGGGATCGAATGGGCCTTGATTTTGGGCTTTTTGAAGAATTATTGTGAGAATTCGTATACGAGTTCGTGGTGGGTCTGGACCAGCTGTTACTCATGGTGGGACTGGTTGAATAGGGCTGCCAGTTGTCATAAGGATCGTAGTTGGAACTGGATCCGGGATTATTCACACTATCTAGGAAATCCTCCATAGTAGTGGGTATCGAAGATGAAATGCTATTGTCCTGGCCACTAAAAGCCACAGCGGTATCATAACCCTGGGCTTGATCCTCAGCTTCCTCCGATCCTGTGGGATAGTAACCACCATATTTACTGGGTGTACTCATCATCATTACTTCCTCGTAATCCTCATGGTCCTGTGGCTCGTCCTGATAATCCTCAAAGTTCTCCGAGAGATCCTCATCTTGATAATAGTAGGGTTTACTCCTGTAGTTATTGGAGTAGTCCTTGATCGAGGTGTTCTTTAGCTTTGAACTGGATTTCTTGCGCTTTCGACGTCCTCCGAATTTCGAAAGATATTCCTTTTGCAGGGCCTCCAGGAAACTGTTGTTAAGCAATGAGTTGTTTTCCACTTGATTATCCTCCACTGAAGAGGTATCCTCATCATCGGCTTGCTGAGGTGCAGAGAACAATTGTTGCAACATCTGTTGCTGTTTGGTGGCAGCTTTCAAGGCCTGGAGAGGTCTCATTGTCGTTGTCGTTGTCGCCACACTCAATGGTGTCGCAGCATCCTGATTGTAATTGTCGAATAAAGCGGGTCCATAATTGGGCATTAGACTTGTGGGCGATGGCATCATGCTGGGCGTGGCTGCAGTGGCCATTAGCTGCATTAGATTGGGTGCCATTGGTCCCGAGCTTCCCACGGAGGTTGTGTAACCCAAAAGCTGGACATGGGGTTTACCCAGGTATTTTGGAGGCGACGAAGCGATCGCTGTAGGTGCTTGAACGGGCGCAGGAACGGGATGGATTTTCGGGTGATACTTGTAGACGTTGTGGTAATGCGTGTGCTGACGCACCACCTCCGGCATGTGGAGACGGATGTGGACCCTGGGAATTGATTTAAATATAAATCCTAGTCCCCACTTAGTTCCTTTTAAACCTTACCTCTCCCCGCTGCTTGAACCTGGTTTCGCCTGGCAGCTTTCAAGGTTCAATGTCAGCAGGCAGATGATCCAGAGGATGGTAAACGTGTGCTGATTCAGGATATCCAGATCCATGGCTCCATAACTTATGGCTGCTCCGACTGTCGACCGACTTGTGACGCATCTCTCTGGTCAGTCGCCCACTTTTATTGCCTTTAGAGCCGGAGCAGATTCAATTTCATCATCATCGGATGCTCACTGAACGGAAAAGATGCGTGGATGGGTTGGGGTGGATGTGGATGTGGATGCTGAGTTTTCTGCACCTCAACCTCACGTTTCCAATTGCAATTTCCATTTGCTGCTGTGCCGTCGACTCTTTCGCTCTCTCTCTCTCGCTTTGATATTCGATAGGTTTGAAAGTCGAGCGACAGGAATAGCAACAAAACCAAAAAACACATGCGGATTGCCATGGAAAGTCCAGTCAAGTTCGGTTCGGTAAAGCAGCGCATGCGTAACGTTTTCAATTTCAATTTGCATCTTGTTTGTTTTTGTTTACGCACTTTGCTCGCTGGCTTTATTTTGAAGGAAAGAGACGGCTCTTTGATTATTTTCTGTCTCTTTCAGTCGTGGTCAGACCCTCTCTTTCTTAGCAAGTTGATTTATTATACCCTTGCAGGGTATTATAATTTCAGTCAGAAGTTTGCAACGCAGTGAAGGAGACATTTCCGACCCTATAAAGTATATATATTCTTGATCAGCATCAACAGCCGAGTCGATCTAGCCATGTCCGTCTGTCCGTCTGTCCGTCTGTCCGTCTGTCTGTTTCTACGCAAACTAGTCCCTCAGTTTTAAAGCTATCTGAATGAAACTTTGCATATAGTCTTCTATATACTCTCACTGCTATATATGTCGGAACGGGCCGGATCGGACGACTATATCATATAGCTGTCATACAAATGTTCGATAAATTTTTAGAAAAAAAATTATAACTTTGCTGTTTTTCAACATTTTTGCAAAATTTTTTAGATATGGCCATTTTATATTATTTCAGAATTTTGGTAAAAATTTTATGAAAATCGGACGACTATATGATATAGCTGCCATAGGAACGATCGGGAAATTAATAGGAAAAAAAATTATAGCTTCGTTGTTTTTCAACGTATTTTTATCTACTCTGAGATATAAGTTTTTTTATTATTTTAGAATTTTGGTATAAATTTCATAAAAATCGGGCAACTATATCATATAGCTGCCATATAAACCGATCGGTAAATGTATAAAATATGTTAAGGGGGTCTTCTCATTGGGCAATTTTTTTTTTCGATTTTTTTTTTTTGCATTTATTTATAGCTTGGGATGGTATGTATATGTCCCCAAAAGGATTTTTAGAAATTCGAATTACTTTAGAAGATACAGCCTTTTTTGTGAAGCAAGTTCTTCGCAAAATGAGCTTTTTTCAAACTTCAAACGCGTTTATCTCGAAACCACGTTTTTCGAACTGGCGGCCATGATATCTCCAGTTCAACTGAACCGATTTTCATGAAACAAAGTGGAGTCGACGCAGAATTGTCACCATTCTCGGGTGACGGAACAGATTTTTTTAAATTTTTTTTTCTTTTTTTTTTTTTACACTAAACTAAAAAAAAAGCCCGAAATTGAAATTTTTTTTTTGAATGGCCGCCATTTTGTTTAAAAAAATTAAAAAAAAAAATCTGTTCCGTCACCCGAAAATGACATCAATTCTGATTATAACCCCGTTTTTTTATTTTTCATTTCGGACGCTCTGGAGACCCTGAATCGTGGCCGCCAGGACGACACCTTTTTTTTCGACCACCAAGTTTGAAGTCTCATTACTCTTTGAACAACCCTCGTATCGAGGCAAGAACAACTTTTTTAGTTACTTTGAACATTTTTGAATACAATAATTAAAAAAAGTTTTCAATTATTCTTTGCGTTTTCAAATAAGAATTTTTTTAAAAAGGGTCCAAAAAACGGCTTTTGAATGAGAAGACCCCCTTAAGCTGGGAATGTAAAACTGTAACTGTCAAACTTTAAACATAATAAGTATAGGTAAAATTTAATGAAACTCTGTTTTGTGAGTGTTTTCATCATTTAAATCTATAATATAAACATCAAAACCAATCTGCAAGGGTATACAAACTTCGGCGTGCCGAAGTTAGCTTCCTTTCTTGTTTATTTATACGAAAAGAAGTCTGAAGCCTCAGATATGCTTAAATAACTTAAGAGAAGCATCTGAAAGGATAACAGAACTATAAACAGTATATTTTTTACATTAATTTTTTAACAAATAGTGTATTAAATAATTATCAAAGTCTTTGCTGAATTTATAAATGAAATCCTGGGGCAATAAGTACAACCTTCTTTAAATTGTTTAAGTATTTAAAAGCAACATAAACCTTGTTTTTTACTAGCTCTCTTTCTTTTTTAATTAAAATATGAAACAGGCTTTAGTTCTCTTCATTTATTTTACGCGTAATTATTTCCATTTTCCATAGTTTTCATTATATTTTTAAAGCTTTACTTTTTTACAATCTCCAGTTATAGTTTTCCACAACTTTAACGACTTTGGCTAGAAGTCCTTGAATTGAATCTTAAGCAACCCACGCTGGTCCACCTCCTCCTCCCTTTTATGTCCTTTTTTACTTCCTCTTTATCACTTCCTTTGGCGGATTCGTTCTGGGTTTTGTTCTCTGCAAGATTGGGGGAAAGTCTTACTTAACCTTGGTTAAGTGCCAAAAATACGGGGTAAGCTAAACGCAGCTAAACAGAAAATGCAGCCAAGTAACTTCCAAGCCACTAACTGCAGATGATAAGTGGCAGGGTGGCAGGGGAAAGAGAAAATGATGTGTCCTTTTCTTCTGTTTTGGTTGCTTTCCCAACGCCCACGAAAGCATTTTGGCAAACGCCAACGCCAACGGGAGTCAATGAAAGTGTTTTCGTTCAAGGATAACCACAAAGTTTCCCTTCCGAAAGATGGTCTTAAGCTGCTTAGCTGAATTTAACATTAAAGATCGAAAAAGGGCAACTTGGCTTTGACCAAAGTGAAAGGTTCTCCTCTCACAGCTTGTCGTCTAGCCACAATGTCTGTTCAAAGTTTATTGCTCCGTTCGCGTTTATTGGTTAAGTAAAGCTGGCTAGGAAGAGACACAAAAAAAAAAAAAAAAATCATGAGACGGCGAGGTAGAAAAATAATAAGCGTTCAATGGCTTTTTGCACTTACATCATCTATAATAGTTGGCGGCATTCGGGTAATCATCTCTCGCAATGCTGATGATAATGACGATAATGCGTGAAAAAGGCAGCAGCAGCAGCAGCAGCAGCAGCAGCGTCGGTACTAAGAGGTAGTAATAGTAGGAACCCAACAGCCGACAACAAAAATAGCAACAATCATCCACCGTTAAATCCAAGCAGCTTAGAACATGTCCAAAATGATGATATGAAAAAGGAAGAAAGAAAGGGTAATTATGAATTTTTGCAAAGGTAAAGTTGAATGCTCTAAAAAAATATATTTATCTATAGAATTATTATTATTTTAATATTTATTATTTTCAAAGTGTTTGTTAGCAACGACGACCTAAACCTTATAAGAGAATCAAGAGGTCCAGTCGCTTACGATTTTCATTATAAAACCAAAACCCTTTGGGAATTATAATTAAAGCAAATTTTAAGATCTTTATTAAAGTTTTTTTTTACAAAATTATCAGCAACTCGTATATACCCATTACAAGAGGTAGTGTATCATACTCAATAAAAAAGGCAACAATTTAGCAAGTGAGAAGAGCAGCGTAAAGATTAACAAGTCATGATTATTAGTTTGAAGAGAGCATTTATTGGGTGATGGTGGCGTTGGCGGTGGCGGAGAAAATTATAGAAAATCGGGAGATGGAGGATATAATCTAAGGAAGTGGGAGTTAAAGTTTCTTTCTTTATTCCTGACCAGGCATGTTAAATTGTTTCGGGATGGGGGAATGATTATCAGCTTCTAGCTGCGAAGCAGTACTACCATGTGTTTGTGTGTGTGTTGCAACTTTTGGCTGACCTTTTTTAAGTGGTTTTTGGTCTTGGCCAAAGTTTTCCGGCATTTCTTGGTGTTGTCGGCTGTTATTTTTCCCCTCACAGCTATTAACAAGTATGTGTTCCTGTTGGTGTTGTGGCTACCAGCAGAGGCTCACGACGTGCAACTCCTGACCTGCGCGTATCTTTTTTGCCAAGGAAGCCAGATTTTTTTTCTTACGAGCCTTGGCAACATGTTGCCAAAGAGGAAAAGAAAAAAGATGTAGATCAGGCCAACTGGTTTTTATTGGTAAGGCTTCCTTGTATTTTATTTTTAGCAGGCTGTTGCTATGCCTATATGATTTATTAAGGTATTAAGATATTTTAATGGATATCAGAGGAAATAAATCAAATATTTTATTCGATATAAAAGTATTCAAAGTGTTGTATATTTTATTTTTAAAATTTTTATACAGTTTCAAGTGAAGCCTTTACCCATTTTAGGCGTCATACAGTCTTAACTTATTTTTCCTACCCTTTTTATTCTCGCTTTATTTTGTAATTGCCAACAAATTAAGCTTGGCAACATGTTGCCAGCCTGACCTTGGCCTTAACTTTGAGCCCCCTAGAGCTTGTCAACATGTTGAGTTGTGGGTTGTAAGCAACAAGTTTTGCAGTATGGTAATAAGATATGTGGTTCGAGTCTTGGCTTTAGGCCTGGGTCAATGTCTCGCTTTTGACCATTGTTGTAGCTTCCTCTTTCACTCGAACGTCTCTTTTACTTATTGTTACGCACATTGCGCTTAAGCTTAATTATTGTTTATGCCGCATTTTGCTTTACTATTATTTTAAATGCCGCCATCATCCATGTTTGTTGTCTCAGTTTTCCACTCTCGGGTCATTGTCCATCTTTTGATCGGCCGTCTTTATATTATTTATATACATTTTTTTTATTTCCCTTTCTGTGTGTCTCTCTTTGTGGCCACTTTTTCCCTTTTCCGCCTGCCTTTTCACTCACATTTAATTGCAATTTGTCGGAACCAGTGTCGATTTTGCTTGACCATTCTTGGGAATCATAGAGTCGTAAAATGATGATGTCACGTTTTGGGTGTTAAGCTCTCCCTCCTTTTCCCCTCATTTTTTTTTTTCTATGTACCTGTTGTACCATATCCGGCGGGCATTGTTTGCTTAGCCAGTTCCATTCATTCCCTTATTATTATGCTTTTTTTATTTTATATATTCTGAAATATTTCCTATTCGTCACGGGCCAATTATGAATAGGAGTCGGTTACAGTC